AGTATCCACGCGGCACGTGTGCCTGTAGAAGGAGGGAGAAGCCACTGGTGGCTGCAGACTGCCTGCGCCTGCCTCCGCGTCCTGCTTCTCGCCCACACAAGCAGCACCGCGTGTGTGCTCCTGCAGCCAGAGATGCAGATAAGACAGCTATCGAAATACGCTATATATATCTACAGCCCTCTCCGCTGCTGGCACGCTGGCACGACAGGCAGCCAGGGGCCCTCCAGGCGCTGGCAGGGCTCCACAGGAGCCTGTTTTCGGCAGGATCCAGCACCTGGGGCCACGGGGGGGGACAGGAGGGCCAGAAGATGGGAGATTTCCTGCCTCGTAGCAGGGCAGACATCGTCCCCATGGCCCAGCAGCGGGCCCAGGGGAAGGGCTGGGTGTTGGCTGGTGTTTCTTGGCCCGTCTCCCACCTCCTGCTTCTCCCGGGGGGGGGGACCTGGCAGCAGACCCCGAGCAGGATGGGCAGGGAGAGGAGCCAGCTCTGGCTGTGGAGGGGGCTGAGCCCGCCGCGCAGGGGCCAGCCCGTGTCACTGGGACAGCTGCTGCGGGCTCAGTGGCTTAAATTGCAGCCAAGGGGGGATCAAGGGTGGAAAGTTTCTGGGTGGGAAGAGCTCCCCTGCGGGGTGGGCTCCTCTGCTGGGCTTCGTGCCGTGAGGTGGGAGATCGACCCCCCCCTAGGTCCACCAGAAACCCCTTTGAACTAGAGGAAAAGGCAACCTCTTGAGTCTTAACCCAAGAGGGCAAAGTGTCAAAGCCTGGGCGAGGTGGGGATGCAGCGTCGGGGCTGGGACAGGCAAGCACAGCCACACACGTGCCGAGCTCCGGGGAGGGCTGGGGACACGGATAACTGGGATCTGGGAAGTGTGGCCCTGTTGGGGTGGGTGAACAGGAAAGCTTGGGGCCACCCAAGAGCTTTGGCAGCGCCGGCAGCATGCAGGCAGCGGGCAGGGATACCAACCTGTGGCGGAGGAGCCCAGGGTGCGTCCGGGGTAAGCTGTTAGCGGGGGACACGGGGAGAGAGAAAAGGTACCGTGAGTCGAAGGAGGGAGGCGGCTGCTGCCTGGGTCTGGCCCAGGCCCCGGAGGGAGCTGAAGACTGGCCCTGGCCTTCTCGTGGGCAGGAAAAGCCAGCGACGGCCACCTTCCCAGCAGGAGAGGAGGAGTTACAGCCTGTGAGCAATGAGACCCGCAGCTACTGGGACAAGCACTAAACATCCCTGCGTGGCGGGGATGTGGCCCAGGGGAGCAGCCCCGGGGGGAGCTGCCCCCTCGGAGACAGCCCCTCAACCCCCCTGCCCCACTCAGCCGAGTTATCGCCTTCCCCAGCAACGTTCCCCGAGCAAAGGGAGCCCGACAAGCCGTGGTTAGGACAGGAACCAACCCCGACAAGTGTCCTGACCACCCTGGCGGTATGGATACCCATAGCCAGCCCTAGGGTGGCTGGTGATGGCAACTGGGAAGTCATTCCCTACACAGGCATGCTAATCAGCACTAATTAGCATCACCAGCATGCACTACGAACTGGCAGGACTTCACAGCAAGCTTCCCATCACCAGACTGGGAGAGTCCCTCAGCCCCGAGCTAGGGACAGTCCCCACGGGGTGGCCAAGCACACGGGAGGACCCAGCCAGGGGGTTCCCGTGCCCGGGTGGGATGGCAGAGCGGGGAGGCGGGAGGGTGGCAGGCAGGGACGAGGAGGTGGCACCTGCCAGGCTTAGACACGCTGTCAGCACAGGGTGTGGGGTGAGACTTCTGGGGTGCTCCCTAACCATTCAGAGTCGGTGGTGGTGGCAGCCGCAGCTCCCCTGGGGACAGGGGACACTCGTCCACATGGGTTTTTCCAGGAGCTGCGGGGAGTGGAGGATCTCCTTGGATTACACCGGCTGGTGCCCACGAGCGGAGCCGATGGGAAGGGAGACAAAATGGAGGGCTGCCCTGTAATGGAGGGGCGAAGGAGCTCGCCACGGCGCCCCTCTATATTGGCTTACACCTCCAAAGGTCACACATATTCCATGACAGGCCTGCCCCGCCGCTCTCCCAGCTGTCCCGCTCCTCTCGGCCAGCTCAGCCGGCAGCTCTGCGCCCTCCTGCCTCCCCCTGCCACGGGGGTGGGCACAGGGGGAGACATCCCAGCTTGCGGGGGCACCACCGGGGCAATGAACCCACTCAGGAAAGGGGCACCACGCAGAGAAAGCAGCTAAGAAGGCTCCCTCGGCCCCGTCGTGTCCTCACCTGCCTTGCAAGGTCAAGAGGACTCCTTGGGCCAACCCTCTAACTAATTTGCAGGTTTCTCTAATTACAGTGCTAATGAGGGGTTGGGGAAAGCTGGGTCTGTGGGTATTAAAGGCAAACTGTTGGGTTTTGTGTGTCAGGGTATGGTGAGGGGGGGGTGTCAGGGATTCTTCAAGGAGTTTGGCGGTGGAAGAAACATTTCTGAGGGGAGCAGGGCCAGGACCTCTCATGGCTGAGCCAAGGGCTGCAGGCAGTACAGCGTCCATGTACCCTTCCTTTTGGGCCAGGAGGCTGTGCCTGTGGGCTACCAGCTGTGGGATTGCATCTGCAGCCCTGGGAGAGACACAACAGGGTGTGCTGGGCATTCAGGCTGGGACTGTGGAGACTGTCAGCCTGAGGGATGGTTGCTCCCTCATGGTGAAGTGGAGTGTTGCAAGATGAGGCTGTGAGGAACACCAGGACTCGCAGTCTGTGGTGAGTCCTGCTCAGGAGCTGAGTTTAAGAGGGTCCTTGGGTTTGGAAAACACAAAGGCTGGTGGTTGTTTCCTAAGGAGCTGGGAGGGAGGAAGCCATCAAGGGCCTGAGAAACACTTGCTCCTTCCTGAAACGGGGCAGGGAGGTGGCTGGTTGGGCATGGGAAGACTGAAGGGCAGGGTGGCATGTCCTGTGCACCAGAAACTGAGGCTGGGGGCTGCATCCTCGGGCAGTGAACAGCAAAGGGAGGGCTAGAGCCTGGGAGCCCACCAGCTGCCCCTGTAATCCCAAACGTTCTCCTAAACAGCATCCCAGGAGGAGCTGACAGTAGATGCTGATGCTTTCGCTGCCACCAGCACAGACCAAAGCAGCTTGGAGAGGAGGCTGGGGAGCTGCTGAACCTGTGAGCTCCAGGATGGAGACAGCTGAGACAGGGCACGGCTGGACTGTTCTCGTGCTGAAGAGGACTGACTCTTCAGGGTGCTGACTCTACACCTCATGCCGCTCCTTCCCCAGGCACGTGGCTGCATGAGGGAGGGGACAGGCCAGTGCACTGGGTGGGTGACAGCAGCTGTGGTGGGGTCAGGGTCTGCAGGACAGCCCTCCCATGCTGGCTGCAGCATGGCGTGGTCACTGTGACCTTCCCACATGGCAAATCATGGTCCCCAGCTCACAGAGCGAGGCAGGCAAAGAGCTGGCTGCAGGAGGCTCTTGTTTTATGAGATCTACAAATGCCCCCTGCCCCAAACCCCTGTGGGTGGGTCGTGGGTAAAGTCCAGGGAGCTCTGTGTCTTGAAGGGGACAGAATCTGGGCTGGTGATGAGGCCTCTACAGCCCTGTCCCTGCCCCATGGGTCCCACTGGCTCGAAGCTGGAGATGAACATCTGGAGATGTTCAAGTCTGCTTACAGAGCGCCTGACCCTGATTTAGGGGTTGCGTTTGGGCTGCAGTGGCGGTCCCTGTAAGACAGGGGTTCTGCTCTAAGGGAATGTGTCTCAGGGGTTTGCCCAAATGAACGTGGGACCAGTGTATTGGTGGAGCAGAGCCCAGCTGCAAAAAGGAAGGTCTACGTGGAGGTCCAGCTCAGGACAGGGCTTGAGGAGGGGCTCACAGGAGAGTTGCCCCAGTGAACAGGGACCTCAGACTTGGGCTGGAGCCATCTGTGCTTGGAAAACAGGTTTGCTTGTGTCATATGGGTCACCAGAGCTTCCTGTAGCTTGTGAACATCTTGGGGCCAGGGCTGCAATTTCCTCTTCTGGAGGGACACGTGAACTCTTGGGGCTCAGCCCAAGCCAGTGCCCATGGCCACGGGGACCTGCTCACCTGATCCAATGTGTCTGCCAAGGGGTGGAAACTCTAACTCCCAGCATGAGTGAAGGCTGCCGAGCTTGAGGGATACCCTGCCCACATGGCCGTGTCCCGTAGTGAGCAGGAAGGATGCCAGCTCCAGCCACCCCCAGGAAGCTCACCCCCAGCCTTGAGAGGTCCTAAGCTTCCTTGCCAAGCCTGCTTCGTTGGGCCGTGATCTCTGCTTGGCAAGGGGACAGGGCATTGATGTTGAGCAGGTGGAGGACCCGAAGCAGGCGGGGTTCAATGCTCAGCCTACACAGATGGTCCTGACAGCAGATGGGCTAAGGCAGATGCAGGAATGCCTGCCGCTGGGTTCACTAGGGCATGTCCTCTGAGCCCAGCATGTTCATGGCCTTCTTGGGAAGCTGCAAAGGAAGACAAACTATCCGAGCCTTTCCGTGGGCTGCTCTCTGTGCTATTATCTGCATCCCAATGACCTGATGGTACTGGAGACCCCGGTGCCCGTGGCATTACCTGTGATCTCGTGCTGCCTCAGCTCGTTGTATCTGTAGGAGTGCTCCAGGGGCTTGATGGAGGAGTGGTAGATCTTCCTCAGCCGCTGCAGTACTCCTGCAAGGGTGAAAGCACGCAGAACGGGTGAAAGGCGAACCCCACCACCCTGGTTGAGTTCCTCCTAGGTAAGCTGCTGGGCATTCCCTGCAGATCTTGAGGGTGACTCAACCCTCACTTAGCCGTCATTAAGGGACTTAACTTACAGTGGAAATCTTGGCCAAACTCAACTCAGTCACGAATTTTGAGGCCCCTCCCTGCTAATGTTTCCTGCTGAGCACTGTCCCCATCTGCTGCCAGTCTTGCACGTGCCAGCAGCTGATGGAAGGAATGTCTCTTGTTAATGCTCTTTAGCACTCAACACCCATGATCCCCAAAGCCTTCCACCATGGTGCCAGGGACCCCGCTAGAAGAAAAAAGGAGCTTTTTTCCACAGCAGCTTTTATCAGTCTCTCTCCAGTCTGGACTGCCCATGTGGCCAGCAGAAGCGAGCCTTGTAATAGCAAAACCCCAAAAATAATTGGAATAAAAATCCCAACCCCTTATTACAGGTTGCCTTGGGTTTCTCTGGGCAGGGATGTGGGTGGCTTGGGCTGATTCACCATCTGCATCTTCTAGCCTCTCTACCCTCCTAATTCTTGCACACCCTTGGGGCTGTCTTTAAAATACCTAAAATATGTTAACCCAAGAGCAGCAAAAGGGCTGTTATTGAAGATATGGTGCTGCTGGACCTACAAGAAGTAAGGCTAAACCTAAAATGCTCCAGGGAAGGAAAATCCCATGCATACTCTTGGTGCAGTGGAATGGTGAGGTGCCTGTCCCACAGGGATTGCCTGGACTGAAGGAGCAGGACATGCATGGCATGGTGCCACCCAGGCCCCCCTTACCTGAGACATCATCGGCGGGTTTGTCCTCGTTCAGCTTGAGGGTGCTCTCCAAGTGGGACCGGTCGCGCTTGGTCGGCTCGCTGGCATCTTCAACCTCTTCTGCAGGAGAAGGCAAGGGAGACCTATTACCCCCAGAGCTGGGGACTCCACGCAGGAGCTCACACAAGCGACTGCCGGGGGGAGGGCACGGGGGAGCACGCATCCCCCCAAGCCCGTGGACCCACCATGCGCCTGGGCAGCCACTCTCGCCTTTGGCACGCCACAGGCTTTCTCTTTTGCAAAGGCTCCTGGAGGCTTGGCAGAGCCTGCCAGGGCTGTGGCTGCCGGGGGAAGCGTCAGGGGCAACTGCTTGGCTCCCAGGAGGGGCTGGCGAGGGAGACATGCTGTGTCTCCCCGGGTGGTGGTGGGGGGGAGCAAGGGCTGGCCGCTGGTGGGGAATGTGCAGGACGTGCCTGGCAGGGGGACCAGGGCCGGGGTGCGGTGGGAGAACGTGTGGCATCTGCTGCCCGATGGGCCCTGCCCACCATGACGCTTCCCCCGGTGGCTGCGGCTCCTGCGGGGTGAAGCCTCAGCTGTGGGGCCCCTCTGCTCTGCCTGCCTGCTCCCCCCAAACCCGCGCGTTGAGCCAGGGTCATGGGGGTGTGCGAGGCTGGGGGTGGCTCTTGAGACACCAGCCAGCCTTACCCATCCTGGCTGCATCGCCTTTGCCAGTTCCCTCCCACCTCTGCCCACCATATCAGTCTGCAGCCCCCTGTGTGGGGCCCTGGGGACCTGGGAGATGTCCCTGGGGTGGCCCTGGGGACCCCACAGCTCTGTGCTAGGCCTGGGGAGCATGAGGCAGCTGCCCTCACCTGGGATACCCTGGTTTCCCCAAGACAGAGGTGTCCTCACCCTGGAGGTGCTGGCACACCAAGGTCCCCCTGCAACTCCAAGAGCTTTTTTCATATTAGGTGCTGGGTTGGGCTTTAGTGTGTTTTGGGGACAGGTCTGGGGACAGGTGTGTGCTGACTGGCTGGGCTGGGGACATCTGGGCCAAGCAGGGCACCACCAAGCCCTGGGCCCATGGTGAGTGTCTACCAAGTGCTGGGCTGAGGAAGACCTTTTGACTTGCCAAGTAAAGCCACAGTGACCAAGCTGGGTTTCCCTCTCAGCACAAATGGAACTTTTTGAGCTGGGACATTACAGATGAAAGCGGAAAAAGACTCAGCTGGGTCCAAAGGTTGCTGCCCAACCCGTGGGCCAAAGTCCACAAGTGTTTCTAGGAGATCGTGGTGGAGAGGGGGGTGTCCCTTTTCCTTAGCTAGCCTTTTACTGACTGAACGTGGCCAGAGCTGGTGCTTCAGCAACTCATGGGTCTGAATTAGCTCTTCACACCTTCCCTATGAGGCAAGAGCTGGTGGACAAGAGACCCACCAGCCTGGGGCAGCATCCTGCCCTTGCACCGAGAAAGCTGGGGGTCCAGAGTACCATGAGGGTGGAGGATAAAGAGCCTTTAAGAGGTCTGCGGGTGCCGAAAGGGGCCTGGGCGTTACAAATTTTATCCGTGTCCACAGCCCGGAGGAGAAATCATGGGCTTTAAAGAGCAGCCAGGGAAATGTCGGCCAGCTTTGGTATCGCCGCAAGGAGCGCCGGCGTCGGGGGGCTCCTGCCTGCGCCCTGGTTGCCCATGGCTGGCCCAGCAGCGGTTAGGGGCAGGCGCAGGAAGCACAAGCGTTAGGAAAGGGCCATGCACTAGGCAAGGTTTAATGTGCCAAGCTCAGCTCCGCCGGCAGTTGATGGTAGGTCACTCTGGCCATGACAGCACACTGACAAGACAAGACTCCAACCTATATGGCCATGCTGGAGCTCAGCGGCAGCTGGGTGGGAGCTTTGGCCTGGTGAGCTCTCCGTTTCTGCCAGAGATGTCTTGTCTGCAGGGGGGTCTTCTGCTGCTGGGGGGTTTTTCAGCACTGCTGGTGGGTCTTCTGCTGTTGGTGGGTCTTCCACCACCGCTGGTGGGTCTTCTGCTGCCAGGTGATCTTTTGCTGGTGGGTCATCGGCTGCTGGTGGGTCTTCTGCTGTTGGTGGATCTTCCACCACTGCTGGTGGGTCTTCTGCTGCTGGTGGATCTTCCACCACTGCCGGTGGGTTTTTCACTGCTGCTGGTGGGTTTTTCACTGCTGCTGGTGGGTCTTCTGCTGCGTCTCCACAGGGTGGGTGATGGCAGCTGGCAGAGTCAGCCCTGGCTTCTCCCTTGCTGGCAGCTGCTGGTTTGCCATGGCCATTTTTACCAGGAGTGCCAGCTGCTTCCTTGTTGCTCCCTTCAGCTCCATTCTCTGGCCCCACTGACTCGGCACCATCTTCCTCAGACTCTTCCTCCTCCTTCGACTCTCCCCCTTCCTCAGACTCTCCCTTGCTTCCATCTTCCTCAGACTCGCCATGTTCATCTTCCTCAGACTCCCCCTGCTCATCATCTTCCTCTGAGCTCTGCTCGCCCCCTTCCTCTCCTGCCTTGGGAGCTTTTGGCTCCTCCACTTTCTCTTTCCCAGGCTGCCCTTCCTCCTCAGAAGCTCCTTTCTTGGTGGCCGGATTCTCATCCTCCTGGGCACGGGACCCATCTTGTGGGTCAGGCCCACCATTCCCTTCATGTTGCGTTGCCTCAGGGGTGCCGAACATGACATCCTCCCCTGGGCCCTGTGCCTCGATGGGCTCCTTCTGGCCCTTCTTCATGGTGGTCTCCTTCATCTGGCCATCCCCTGGCCCTGGCTCCCCGCTCAGGCCACCCGCTGGCTCTTCCTCCCCCTCTCCACGTCCCTCCTCAGCAGCGCCGAGCAAGGAGGCGTTGGCAGGGCCGCCATCTTGATCCTCCTCAGGGCTGCCGTCGGCTGCCTTCTCCTCCAGCCTGGGCTCTGCGGCTGGCAGGGGGCTTTCGACAGCGCCGCCGACATGGTCCGTGCCGGGGGCGTGCAGCTCTAAACGATGAGAACAGCTCAGTCAGTCTTACCCGCGCCAGCACATGGCTACCGGGGCACCCGCTGGCCCCCCCCTCAGCACCCTGAGGGAGGATTTGTGGCTCTTATCAAGAGATTTAAACTCTTTCCTAAAACTTCTCTAGTTCCAGCTCAGTTTTCTGTCCCTGTTGCAAGAAGCTGGGTGCAAAGAGGTGGTTTTTTTGGGGGGGGGGCAAAGCTGATGCTAGCAAGGGACCCTATGGCTGCGCTGGCCATGGCTGCCCCCCGCCACCAAGCACTGCAGGAAGGCGGCAAAGCAGCCCTAAAAAATGTTGGGGAGGGGAATAATAACAAAAAAACCATAACTCAAGGGGCCACAGGCACTTGGCAGGTTAAAAGGGTCCTTCCCCAGCCCTGCCTTGGGGCAGCATCTCACTGGCCATGGCGGGCAGCTGGGCGAGGGGGAGGAGGAGGAGGAAGGGGCAATGGAGAGGAGGAAGAAGGGGCGAGGGGCTGCCCTTTCCGCAGGCAGGGCCTGACCCCAGCAGCAGGGCTGGGGAGCTATTTATTGTGAGCATCCCTTCACTAGGAAAGCATTTGCCGATCTGTGCGGCTGGCGGGGACACAATGAGTTTGTTCTGCGGCCCGGGAGAAGCCATCCGTATTTTCCATAGCCCTCCAACTGCAATTTAACATTAGTCAACGGGTGCCAAAAATAAAAGATCACCAGCTATACTGTCTCCGTTACAAACAGTTGCTGCTAGCCTAAATAATCCCCCGAAACGTCTAATGCCTGCATACCAGGGAAGCGTTTCAGAGGAAAATAATTCCTTTGTACTCCAGCTGGCAAGCAGATGCCAACCAGGAAAAAAAAAAATGCCACCTCCACCCAGGCTGCAGGGAGGAGAGCGGGCAGCACCGGGCACGGCCAGGCTGGCAACCAGCCCTCTCCTCCAGCTCCTGTGCCGTGTGTCCAGCCTCGGCAAAGCTACAGCACTGGGGCTTGCTGGGCTTGGCCATGGGGAGCTGTGCTGGCCCAGCACGGGAAGACCTGAGCCAAGGTCAGCACGTTGCCAGCCCCACTCAAGCCATTTTGTCATGGCCAGTGGTTGCATCTCTCTGTGCCGGGGCCGGTGGTGGTGTTAGCCAGGAGCCAGCGGGACGAGCCATGCCAGTGGCCGAGAGGGATGGGCTGCACCTGGGCTTGCCAGGGCTTCCAGTTGCTCTCGTGTGCAGCCTGGCACGCCAGAGCTGCCGCCATCGCCCTGCCGAAACCGGATGCATGGGTCACCCTCCCTCTGCCCTCCCCGACCTCCCCTGTCCTTTGCTGGCATGTGGCTTGCAGGTGCCACCGTGCTCCCAATTCGGCTCCCAGCCTGAGGGAGACGGGTCCTGAGCAGCTCCCACCCATCGCCTCCCCATGCAGAGCACCCCTCTCCTTCGGGTCACCTTCCCCCAGGACCCCTCAGGGTGCCCAGCCTGCCGGGAGCCGCTTGAAGGGGAATGTGCTATGTCTGACCTGCAAAGCCCCAGGTGGCTGGGAGCCAGCATGCCACTGCCTGGTGGCCTGGAGATGGACCTGGGTCTCCTGAGGGTCCCCTCAGCCAATGGGGACAGGGATATTCTCAGCTTGGCCCCAAAATAGCCAGTGGAGGGCTGGGAGGGAAGGGTGGCTCCTCAGGTGGGTGTTGGGGGGAACAGGACCAGGCAGAGGAGACCCTGCGCATCCCAAGGGCTTTTTCTGGGGTCTATGTGTCTCCTATGATGGATGCACGGGGACAGAAGGGCCATCACCCACTGTGGCCGGGCACGACAACAGCCCCAGCACCCACCATGAGCCATGCCCTGTGGGAAAAGGGTAATATTCCCTGGGTGTTCCGAATGGGGTGTTCCTGCCAGTGTGCTGGTCACGGGCTGTATTTCCTGTGACCTTCAAGGTCTTATACAAAGTCCCTCTCCCTTCTCCACCTCCTTCTCCCTCCCGTTTCCCCTACATGGTCTCCAAATCCATCCCGGGGCGAATTGTGCTGATCTGCAGATGGCCGGCCGATGAGCAGTGAAATGGGCCGAAGGTTACGGGCTTAACACCCTCCACGCGTCCGCCGGAGGCTAAAAATACGGCTCAGCAACTGTACCAGGAGGGGACCGGGAGGAGCAGCTCAGAGGGGTGCGGGTGGAGAAGCACCGGCCCCCCCTGGCCCCGCTGCCAGCCAAGGGTGACGTCCACACCTGGGGCCCATCCTGCAGGTCCCCCATGGGCTCTGGGAGGGAGCTGGGGACGGCCAGGGTTTGTAAAGTGACACGGGGGCTCCCCTTGTTCGTGCCCTTGCGTTGTGCCAAGCCACCCGGTGGCATCGCAGAGGAGCCCGCACCCCCCCCTCCCCTTGGGGACCTGATCTCCCCGAGGGTCCCTGGCTGCCCCGAATCTCACACCCATTTGCAGGGCTGGGGGGGCCCTCAGCTGCTTAGGGACACTTGCGGGACTTAGTCCCCACCTTGGGGACTGAGAGATCATGGTGGGGTTCTGTGGATGCCACGGCTGGTTGGCACCCTGGAAAAACCCATGTGGAAAGGATTGGGGATGGCTCCTGGGGGCTGGACGGCACCCTGCCACGGTGTCCCCTCCATCCCTGCCACAGGGACGCATGGGTCAGCAGCAGCTGGGTGCCAAAATGGGTCCTCTGGGAGGGACAGCCCCTGAGGAGCGCTGGAGCCGACTAGAAGGGACAGATGGGCACAGGTGGCCCTGGGAGGGACGATCTCCCCCTCCAGCAGAAATAGGAGCCCCGAGCGTGGGGCCGGCGATGCCCAGCGCCGCAGGGATGGCTTTTCGCACACCCCCTTGCCCTGCCCAGATCCTGACACCCGCAGCTCACAGGGGACTTATCCACCATTTGCTGCAAGTCCCCATCTACCCCTTGTCCTCCCAGTGGGGTTTTGGGGAGGTCATGGCACTCCAAACCCCTCTGCCCCTTCCTTTTTGGGGCAAGGCAAGGTTGAACGAAGCCCAAAGGCTGTGCTTTGTTCTGACGAAGCCCTTTAACACCTCAGGGAGAGTGGCTGGACCCAAAGGAGCCACAGCACCAGGACACTTGGCCCTGCCCTTGGCAAGGGTTGGCCCCTGCTTGCCCCAGGCGTCGGGGGTCTGCCGGAGAAGGGGTTCAGTGCCCAGGGATTAGGATGCTCCCCGCTGCTGCCAGCCGGCGGCCTGGCTGCTGGAAAAAGTCAGTCAAGGCGGATTAGCCCCGTGAGCCTGACCTTTCTGGAGCCAGAAACCCTTCCCAGGCAGGAGGCAGGGCCAGGGCAGCCCAAAGCGGGGGCCGTGCCCCTCACCAGGGCTCAGACCTGGGCACCTCAGCCTTGTAACACAGCCCTGGGTGCTGGGCCGGAGTGTAGAAGAGGACAGCATCTCCTCCCCACTCTTCCTGTGCCTCAGTTTCCCACTCTGTGCCATCCTGGCAGAGCTTGGCACCGCACCAAGCCCCACGGAGAAAGCACCCAGTGTTTTACGACCCTTCAGCAGCTCCAATGGCCAAGCCAGTGCCCCAGCAGGAGCCTGGCTCCAGCACCAGTTTGGAGCTGGCCAGACCAACACCTTCACCGACTGGGAGAGGAAAGTGTCCCCAAGTGGCTCAAGAAGCCCAGAGGACAGAGGCACAATGGTGGCCAAGGATGGGGTTGGCCCTTCAGACCCTCCTGCACCCCCAAAACCCAAAAGATCCATCCCTGAGGCTTCGTGATCCTGGGACACTGGCAAAAAGCAAATATTTTCCAGTTTTTATAATGCACAGCCCAGTGGTGAGAGAGGAAACAGCTTTGTCAGACTGACGGCCTCGTTTGTGGAAGAGATTTTTTTTTTTTTAAGTTTAGTTGAAAAAAAAGAATTGATTTCATTTCTATAAATAGCCGGCTAGAACTGCATGGTATTTTGATTAAGAAGGAGTAAAGAAACCTCACCAGGGTGCACCAAAGGGATTAAAACCAGGCTCGGAGCTTTCTAAATATAGAGACAAAAATGGGGAATCGCTTCTGCGGGGTGTTTTTTCGACGGTCTCCCCGCAGGGTGCCCACCCTTAAAGATCTGGAAGGAAACCTGAACTCCTGATTCTCAGAAGACATCAAGATCAGGGCAGTGGAAAATAAAGCATCTGTGACTCCCTGGCTGGGGGAGATCTGGGTCCGCAAGTGGAAAAACGGCACGTATTTTGGCACTGGCAGATGTCACACTGTACATCGAGGAACATCTCCCCGTGGTGTCCCTCATGGTGTCTGCAGCCCAGGGGGATGCTGAAGGACCTGAGGGAAGCACTGTGCCATGGCTGGGGCTGGAGGAGCCCCTTGCTCCAGAAGAGGGACTCCTACAAGGTCATGCTGGTCCTGTCCCCATCCAACCCACCCTATGGCCCCACTGGTGGCCCCAAGGGACATCCTCCATGCACTCAGTGTGAGCCTTCCCTGAGGAAGACTCCCCATCCCTCTTCTTTGGTCATCCCAAGGATTTCTCATCACAGGGAAAGCGTATCAATCTGGATTTCAATGCCTGATGATCCAATGTCCCACAAGATCCTCAGATCCATGGGAATGTCCAGGCAGCTTGGCTGTGTGAAGTGGTGGCACCCAACCCCGGGGTGGGGGTGTCTCATCTGTACCCCCATCAGCAGGACAGGGGAGGGGGTCCCAGCTCAGCCATCACCCAGGGATGGGGCCGTGTGGCTCCGAGCCCTTTTCCACGTCGTGGCCCACACGAGCGGGGAGGTGGCCAGGGTTGGAGCCACGCGCCCGACTGGCACCGGGGCCACGCTGCCGCTGCCAAAGCCCCAGCCTGGCTCAGGGTGCCTGGACGGAGACTCCCCGGCCCCTCCGCCAGCCCCCGCCGGCACACGAGCTCACCGGCTTCCTCGGGCTATCACTTACAAGGGAAATGTCCCCGAGGGCTGAAAATAGCCCGGCGGAGCCCTGCCAAGGCACCAGCACCCGCTGCTATTCCTGCGGCGCCCGGGGAACGGGTGGTTTTATGAGGG